GCGCTAAGTTGCTTCCTGTTGCAGGCTCTAACCGTTCAGCCCTTTATAGTATCGTCAGGAAGCTTTAAGATGATATGCAACAACGGGGGGACCTCTCCCACTACCAAACTGTGTGGCAAGGCAGCTATGGAACACAATATGGATCGAAACCTCAGAGGAACAAGTCACAACAACAAGATATATAACTATATTATTGTCAGTGGCAGAAAATATTGAATCGATCTGAGTGCAGATATGAGAGCGCGATCATCGTGTAAATTATTTTGGTAAAAATATATATTTGACCCTGGTGCGACAACCACGAGCCACACCCACCACCACCACCACTCCCACAACAACCCCCACCACCACCATCACCACCACACCCTCCTTAAAACTCTTCCTTTTCAAGGAAGGACATTTATCACCTAAACAACTAGATCATTATGAACAACAAAATATAGTTATAATCAAACCAGCACATGAAACCCAGTTACTCTAACATGCTCACAGTTCAACTTAGGCCACAAAAAAAAAATATTTACAACATCGCCCAAATTTCCTTCAAACGATGAATCTCACAACAATTTCAATAAGTTTCGAACCCAAAATAAATGAACCGCGTTTCGAGGTCTCCCGGAACCACCCCCCCCCCTTCCTGTGTGTGTGTGTGTGTGTGTGTGTGTGTGTGTGTGTGTGTGTGTACTCACCTAATTGTACTCACCTAATTGTGCTTGCGGGGGTTGAGCTCTGGCTCTTTGGTCCCGCCTCTCAACCGTCAATCAACTGGTGTACAGATTCCTGAGCCTATGGGCTCTATCATATCTACATTTGAAACTGTGAATGGAGTCAGCCTCCACCACATCACTTCCTAATGCATTCCATTTGCTAACTACTCTGACACTGAAAAAGTTCTTTCTAACGTCTCTGTGGCTCATTTGGGTACTCAGCTTCCACCTGTGTCCCCTTGTTCGCGTCCCACCAGTGTTGAAAAGTTCGTCCTTGTTTACCCGGTCGATTCCCCTGAGGATTTTGTAGGTTGTGATCATGTCCCCCCTTACTCTTCTGTCTTCCAGTGTCGTGAGGTGCATTTCCCGCAGCCTTTCCTCATAACTCATGCCTCTTAGTTCTGGGACTAGTCTAGTAGCATACCTTTGGACTTTTTCCAGCTTCGTCTTGTGCTTGACAAGGTACGGGCTCCATGCTGGGGCCGCATACTCCAGGATTGGTCTTACATATGTGGTGTACAAGATTCTGAATGATTCCTTACACAGGTTCCTGAACGCCGTTCTGATGTTAGCCAGCCTCGCATATGCCGCAGACGTTATTCTCTTTATGTGGGCTTCAGGAGACAGGTTTGGTGTGATATCAACTCCTAGATCTTTCTCTCTGTCTGTTTCATTAAGTACTTCATCTCCTATTCTGTATCCTGTGCCTGGCCTCCTGTTTCCACTGCCTAGTTTCATTACTTTGCATTTACTCGGGTTGAACTTCAACAGCCATTTGTTGGACCATTCACTCAGTCTATCCAGGTCATCTTGTAGCCTCCTACTATCATCCTCTGTTTCAATCCTCCTCATAATTTTTGCATCGTCGGCAAACATTGAGAGGAACGAATCTATACCCTCTGGGAGATCATTTACATATACCAGAAACAGTATAGGTCCGAGGACTGACCCCTGCGGGACTCCACTTGTGACGTCTCGCCAATCTGAGACTTCACCCCTCACACAGACTCGTTGTCTCCTGTTGCTTAGGTATTCCTCTATCCACCGGAGTACCTTCCCTCTCACTCCAGCCTGCATCTCCAACTTTCGCACTAGCCTCTTGTGTGGCACTGTATCAAAGGCTTTCTGACAATCCAAAAATATGCAGTCTGCCCACCCTTCTCTTTCTTGCCTTATTTTTGTTGCCTGGTCGTAGAATTCAAGTAACCCTGTGAGGCAGGACCTGCCATCCCTGAACCCATGTTGATGCTGTGTTACAAAGTTCCTTCGCTCCAGATGCTCCACTAGTTTTTTTCGCACAATCTTCTCCATCAGCTTGCATGGTATGCAGGTTAGGGACACTGGCCTGTAGTTCAGTGCCTCCTGTCTATCCCCTTTCTTGTATATCGGGACTACGTTAGCTGCTTTCCAAGTGTGTGTGTGTGTAATTACCTAAGTGTAGTTACAATATGAGAGCTATGCTTGTGGTATCCCGTCTTCCCAGTACTCTTTGTCGTATAACGCTTTGAAACTACTGACAGGTTTGCCCTCCACCACCTCACTTAACTTGTTCCAACCGTCTACCAGTGTTTGCAAAAGTGAATTTTCTAATATATTTTTCGACAGCTTTGTTTACTTAGTTTAACTCTACGACCTCTTGTTCTTGAAGTTCCAGGTCTTAAGGATCGTTCTTTAGTCAATTTTGTCGATTCCCGTTACTAATTTGAGCGTTGTGATAATATACACACACACACACACACACACACACACACACACACACACACACACACACACACACAAAGCCAAAAAAGACAAGGTAACCCATCAACCATGAATAATAAGTTATTACTTGGAGACGAGGATAGTTACTGTGACACGACATAGTACAAACAACTCCAACAACTTGTAAATTAACATCTTTTAAATATACATTAAAACTTAGAATAAGAGAGCAGAGTTTACATAATGTCAAAAGAAAGATAAAAAGTGTATTCCTTTAATATGCCTCAATGAAATTGCGACCAAAGAAATCATTTTATTAGAGAGAAAGAGAGAAGAGAGAGAAGAGAGAGATGAGAGAGAGAGAGAGAGAGAGAGAGAGAGAGAGAGAGAGAGAGAGAGAGAGAGAGAGAGAGAGAGAGAGAGTGCAGATACTCCTTCCCTACGCTCCTTGCTTCTTGACGAGTCACACACTAAGTAAACTTTCTAGACAGTTGGACAAAAAAATTACTGCTCGCATAAGGTAAACAAATAAAAAATAATTCTTTAAGATTATCTTGGAACTGACGTCAGAAACCAAATAACTTCGTTGGATGTATGACAGAAAATATCTCTAGACGTGAGAAAGGAGCAGCATCGTTGGGCATGAAACAAAACAGCATCGCTGTGCGTGAGAAACAAAACAGCTTCGCTCGGCGCAGCATCCCATGGAGAAACAAGAGACAGGTGAGAATTTTCTTTCACTCAGAAACCTTTGGTTGTGGTCCTGAAGAAAAGATTTTAATGTTATTCTCCGGGTCGTCGTCAGCACCGGAGAGTCACAGTTGAATAGCATTTCCCCAGCGGTTTTATTTTTTTCTGTTACGTTGTGGGCGACTCACGGGCGTTCGTGAGCTGAGAAGGATCAACGTGACAGATTATAGAAGATTTCGATTTTGGCGTCGCAAAATAAGCTCGTAAAATTCTTAAACTAACACAACTGTTATTGTTGCTGTGTTTTTCTTCTAATTCTATAAGTTTTAGTATGGTTCCAAGATAAAAAGAACTTGCATAAATTAGATTTAGACGCGACAGCCTCCATTACTCTTTGTATTCCAGTCACCAGGATATATATGTGTTACAAGGATATCCTCTCTTGGGAGGTACTCTAAGGTCACAGGAAGTTTTTATATGACTTCGGCTTCCCGAATTCTCTCTCTCTCTCTCTCTCTCTCTCTCTCTCTCTCTCTCTCTCTCTCTCTCTCTCTCTCTCTCTCTCTCTCTCTCTCTCTCTCTCTCTCTCTCTCTCTCTCTCTCGCTAATTATAATATATGACTTAAGCAAAATGGTTATTTAATAGCGCGGTGTTCAATGATGAGTTCACAAGGTAAAGGATCACAAACTTTCCTTTGTGAAACAGTTCTCAGAAAACACGAGGAGAAAGAAAAGGGAGAGGAAGAATAGGGAGAGTAAGAAAAAAAAAAAGAAGAGGAACATGTAAGATTACAGAGTGAGAGACAATAGCATTAGCCACGGGTACAGCAGACACAACTCTTGTAGTGTAAGAGTCGCGAGGAAAGAGAATACAGTGAAAAGTATAATATCTGAGGCAGACTCCATACACAACCTCAAATGTAGATATGACAGACCAGTAGCCTCGGGAACTGGTACACCAGTTGACTGAATGTTGAGTGCGTTTCCGAAGACCTGAAACTCAACTTCCCCACTAGGTGTGTGTGTATGTGTGTGTGTGTGTGTGTGTGTGTGTGTGTGTGTGTGTGTGTGTGTGTGTGTGTGTGTACTCGCTTACACGGCCTCGCATGGTCGACCTATCTATCCTTCATGGGAATGAAACGTGTGCCCTTGTATTTCTTAACATATATACATTCAAAACTGAGTAGAGTTAGCTTTCACAGCTCCTTAATGAGTTACATTTATTATTCTTGCGCTGGGGGAAAGTTCTTCCTGACGTCTCTGTGACTCGTGTCCCCTCACTCTGTTCTTTCTCGTCATGTCCCCTCGTTCTGTTGTTCATGATATCCCCTCATTCATCTGTTCCTCACTTTAAACGTTGCTGTGTTCCATATATATGAGTGTGTATGGGGGAAGGCGGACATCTAAACGGTGTTTACTCATCCAGGACAATCAGAGGTTGTCTGGTGGTTGTTATTGGTGTAGTTGCTGGGTTGTGGTTGTCATAGTTGGGTTGTTGTGGTCATGGCGTGTGGCAGCAAGTTTTAAGCTTCATCTGATGCCCGTCTCTCCTTACTGCCTCTTCGATGTCTTACCTTTCACGTTCCTTTTCTTCAGCTCCCTTTCCATTTAAACCCTTTCCATCACCTACATTCCTTTTCCTTCTCTTGATTTGAATTCCCTTTCCATTTAAACCCTTTCCATCACCTGCATTCCTTTTCATTCTCTTGATTTGAATTCTCTTCTCATTTATCCTCACTTACCTTCTTTTCAATTTTTCTCCGCCACTTCCTTCCCTTCACCTCCTTTTCCCTCTTCTCCCATCCCATCTCTCCCCTCTCCCCCCTTCCCACATTATACCTCCTTTCACTACTTCTCTCTTCTGTCATCCGTGATTGGTCAAGACAAACTAATAACTCGTACCTTCATCTGAGCCGTCTGGGCAGTCGATGATGCCGTCGCCAACGCGGGAGAGAGGCACACATTGGGACGCGTTGGAGCGACAAGGCTGTTCTGTTGACAAGTCACACCCCCACTCCGTGTTCTCCTCTGTGGGGGAGAAGTGAGAGTTGATTTAGAAATGATGTCAAAATTATCTAAAAATTCTAAATCATATGGTAAATAAGACGAGATGAATTGAATATTTAGAAACATATAATGTAATAAAGGTTAAATGTTTTACAATTTCAAAGCATCGTCCTGTTTACCTTAAAAAAATTCTGATGAATTAGCATGTACATTATATAAACTAACTACTTTCCTTTAGGAAAAAAGTACATATGGGCATAATACATCAGGGGACAAAATATATATAACAACATTTTGATCCAAAAATATTTTAATAAAGCCGAATTGGCTTAATTTGCTCCCCGCGCCAGCCTCCCCTCCACCCCCCCGCCCCCCCCCCCCCCAAAAAAAAAAATATATATATATATATATACAACTTTAGAACCATATATATATGGTTCTTTTGTGCCATATATATATGGCACAACTTTTGCCATATATATATATATATATATATATATATATATATATATATATATATATATATATATATATATATATATCATAATCATGGAACCGTAGTGACTCAAGAATGCAGTCATCCTTCACGGACCAGTCAGCCAAGCTTCTAAGGCGTCCAGATCTAATTCTAAGCATGGTCACTCAAGAATTCAGGTAGAGATGTATGTGTTGCTTCATATTCGTTCCTGTTTTCCTGGTAGAACTAACGCTTACAGTGTCCTCCAAATTTATATTGTTTGATAAAGATTCAAAGATATGTGATTTGCCTCGGATCATGAAATGTGTGTGTGTGTGTGTGTGTGTTGCTGTTATTAACAGCATTTCTAAAAGTAGATATAAGTTCATAGAAAAAAGTGGTTAATAAAATATATATATTAAACACATATTCTTGCAAGATGGTGTACAAAACTATAAGAACCCTCTTTCAGCATCATCCGGTGTCTTGTTATTAGCTCTTAATCAAACTCAACTTTGCCATAATGGACGCGATAGGTAAATTATCCAGTAGAAGCATTATGCCAGCATGACTATATAGCTCTAGGAAGAGACATGAGAACAAAGAGCGGGTGAAATGCAAACTATAGGAGCTGAGATATGATTACAAGGAGCTGGGATATGAAGACCAGGTGCTGGGATAGGAAGACCAGGTGCTGGGATATGAAGACAAGGAGCTGGGATTTAAGGATGGGAGTGAAGAAACTGTGCCCAAACATCTTGGACCATTGGGGGATCAATCTACAACCTCGTAAGAAGCAAATTCGTGGCCACACCGAGCAATCCAAGTGCTCTGAACGTGCACAAGATGTTACAACAGCACTTGACTGTGAAGGAGTGGGGAGGAGGGCTCAAAATGGTATTGTAGGGCTTGAAATTTTAAAGCGTTACATCAACAAACTGCGATTTTTATCATCCATTCAGGATGAATAATAAAAATCATCCATTCAGGATGATATCTGGCACACGCTGCCCGGCACTTTGTTGCCTTGACCAGATATAATTGTGGCGCGTGATGCCGGATGGGAGACGAGAAGAAAGAGGAAGGAGAACTGGGGGGAGAGATGCAGCGAGGAGAGATATGCAGACAAGAGAGACATAAACACAGTGTATGAAGAGTTCCAGAGCAGGAAGGTTGTGTGTATGGCAATCCAGTAATAAAAAAAGAGTTATAGACAAGTTGTCGAAAAGTCCAGAAGTTGTGGGAAGGTTGTACAGAAGTGGAAGTTGTGGGAAGGTTGTACAGAGGTGAAAGAAGTTGTGGAAAAGTTGTGGGAAGGTTGTGCAGAGGTAGCAGAAGTTGTTGGGGAAGGGGGAGGGGTTCAAAAGACGAGAATGTTATGATTAGGGATGAAAAGGGAGGGAATAAAGTTGTTGACTGAGGGGGAAGGTGTGGGCAGGGAAGGGAGGGAGAAGCAGGGAAGGGCTGGGGGGTATATATGATGCCCAATATCCGGAGAAAGCTAACCCCATCACCACACTCGTGCTGGGCGAGAATCCCCTCATCATTTCCTCCCCTTAGCTTCCTGAAGGTCACATGTCATATGAAGCAGCACACACTCTCAAGTAGCAGGCCCCCCCCCCCACACACACACTCACACTCAAGCAGCAGACCCCCACACACACACACACACACTCAAGCAGCAGACCCACACACACATGCACACTCATTCAAGCAGCAGCAGACATACGCATACAGATACACACACATACACTCAAGCAGCAGCAGCCATAGACACATTCAAGCAGCATCACAAGAGAGAGAGTTTTAACGTAGATGTTTGGTGAAATAAAGAGGTCAAGACAACACTCACAAAACGCCATCTGTGGCACTTTGCTAAACTATCAACCAGGAATTGAATTGACCTGGTCCTCCACATAAAACAAAAACGCTTACAACTCAAGTAGCTACGCTGTGTGTGTGTGTTTGTGTGTGATTAATGCTGCTTAATGCGTCAGTAGTTAAACAAATAATAATAACTAGAGTACTAAAGTTGGTGGAAAATTAAGATGAAACAAGTTATCCAGCGAAATCTGGCATCCAGACATTAAAGGTTACTGGGACTTTAAACTCAGCAGGTGCCAAGTGCTCAATTACCTCCCCTAGTTATTCTTTTTCCTTTCCGAATAAATTACATTTCTCCATAACAAAAAAAATTCTTATAGACTTCACTCATTTATTATACATTAACAGTAGCGGAATACTTTAGTATATATCATTATGTAGACGCAGATAATTCTTAAGATGTTACATTATAGGCGGCCAGTAAGAGAAGATGTGGGCCTCAGGACGGACGTCAACCGCAGAATATGAATGAACTGCTACAAAATAGTCAAGATTAACCACTTAATTGTTGTTCCTTCTGAGACTCTCACCTGGAGTCTCACCTGTCGTCCGGAGCAGCACCGGCCCCGCTTACTACTAATTAATGACATCCTTAATATTTCTGTTACGAGCTTTTGCAACTACAAGGTTATCTTCTTGAGGTTATCTTGAGATGATTTCGGGGCTTTTAGTGTCCCCGCGGCCCGGTCCTCGACCAGGCCTCCACCCCCAGGAAGCAGCCCGTGACAGCTGACTAACACCCAGGTACCTATTTACTGCTAGGTAACAGGGTGTTACCTGGTAGGTAACACCTACTATTACTAATATTATTATTATTATTAATAATGATGGCGATGGGTTTTACTATTAACAAGAGGAAGAATAAAATAAATTAAGATGGGAGACAAATCTAACATCTTTATCTCGGCTTCACTTACTAAGGAATCGCTTTCACCGTCCAATTTACCAGTCCGCTCAAAATGCGACGTATTAGTAAAAAAAAATAAAGCACCGCAATATTGACGTTAACCATGCATCCGCCTCGTTAGGTTAGGATTCGTGCGTTTCTGGTCAGGTAAATCAGTTACGTTTTTTAGCGGAGTGACAAACATGGCAACGATTTCCTCTCCTCCTTAAAAATGGCTCACCTTGAGTTCTTCAAGACGGTAGATGCTTGAGATCTATGCTAATTAGGGAGGGGCATGTCGCATTTGGTCTTGTTCTTTGTTATGGATGCTGAATGCTGATCTGAGTGGCAGATAGGGGTTGGTCTGAGCGGGAGATAGGGTTGGTCTGAGTGGCAGATAAGGATAATCGTCAGAGTAGGTGACAGTAGTCTGAGTTTCAAGGAAAGGTCACTAGAGAGGCAGAATTGGGGATCTGATTATCAGAGGTGAACTAGGGAGATCAAAAACCTGTCTGATTAGGGGAAAGATGATGGAAAAGATATGACATAAAAAAAGGAAGCAGAAGAGGGATAAAACAAGTGGAAAAGAGAGGAGGGAGAGGAACAAAAGAGACAGGGGAAATAGGAAATAAGTAATGGTGGTGGTGACGGTGGTAATGGTGACGGTGGTGATGGTGATGGTGGTGACTCTGGAGGTTTTGATGGTGGTGATAGTGATGGTGAAGGTGGCTGCGGCAGGGTGTGGTCAGCCGGGATTGCATATCTGGCTCACCTTGGCAACCCTAGATATGCCATCCTTAATCAGGTCATGTCTCTCTTCCACCCCCCATCCCCCTTTCTCCTAGCCTGGCTTACAGAGAGTGAGCTATGGTCACCCTCTGCCACTGTGCGCTTCATTAGTATCGTCATCTTCATCATAAACATCATCAACATCATCATCATTGTCATACACATCGTCATCATCGCTATACTATAATGTTAAGGGCAGTGCGTGTGTGTTAAACCATGTGTGATGTTTTCTGTAATGTACCTTTCTACCTTCTCCTTCCAGTCTCTCTCTCTCTCTCTCTCTCTCTCTCTCTCTCTCTCTCTCTCTCTCTCTCTCTCTCTCTCTCTCTCTCTCTCTCTCTCTCTCTCTCTCTCTCTCTCTCCTCTCTCTCTCTCTCTCTCTCTCAGGGCCCCATTACCAAATTCCCTCACAAACAGGTCCCTGTTTATCACCGTCGTGAGGGGCCCAATCAGCAGACCCGTTACCACGTCGTTTCTCTAGATAACTCTGTGTGCCTTACTGTCTTGTTGAATTGCCCAGGCATACGTGAATCTACACCCTGACACACAGACTGACACACAGACACTAGGAAGACTGACACATAGACACTAGGAAGACTCACATAGAGACACAGAGATTCAAAGGCACAGACAAAGTAAAACATACTTGTACTGTTAGCGATTAAAAATTTAATTTGTCATTGAGGCGAAACTTGGTTATTGGAACCAAGAGAGATAATTAGGAGTTAGGGAGGGGAGGAGAGGAAGTGGGAAGTATCAGGGGAAAGGGGTTAAGTAAGGGGCGATCCCCCATTAACTCCTTTCGGCCGGACGGTCGGGGATTGAACGTCGACGTGCATGAAGCAAGACCGTCAGTCTACCTTCCAGCTCAAGTGGTTGGTTTAACTACAGGTGTAGCTAAACACCTGTCGAACTTGTGACTCCCCTTCTCTTCCCCCCCCCCTTTCTCTTTCTATCCTCCTCTCCTCTTTTTCCCCTCCCCTCACTCCCCCTCTTTTCCCCCCT